CGAAAAAGACGGCGAGCGCCAAAAAGTCGGGCTGTAAGTTGGAGAATTCCTCGATCGGAAACGAGAGCCTGACGTTAACGAGAAAAACGTTCCTGAAACCGAAGTGGAACAATGGGTGGAGCTGGGAGGGGGAGCCTTTTGAAGCCAAAGTTTATTTAACGGTAAGGATAATTACATCTTTTGGCCTGGACATTTCAATTCGGACCTTGATATCGTTTGAGGAAATAGATCCTCGCTGTACTCATCACATAGCAGTAATAAGATTGAAAAAAGAGATGAAGAGAGAACATTTTATCAATGGCTACATACATATTTCGATTTTTATACATTTATCGATAGACTTAGGAAAATCTGATTAATAGAATCTGTACACAAACTTTATATAGTTACCTTTACGTATAAATAGCGTGAAAAAAAAAAAAAAATTATCGTGTTTAAGTTTGCTGCCGATATGTTGTATTTTTCTTACAAAATCGTGGGTTTACAATTTTATCAATTTTGCAGAATGATTTTTAATTAAGAATAATATTGCATATGTATTGCGTAAAATTTATTATTCATTTATTCGGAAATTTTTCTGGCAGTTAATTGCCGTGTGATGATGTTAGTCGCTACTAAGATTGGTTCGATTCTAGATATCGGTTAGATGACGATTCGTCGATGAGAGTATCTGATTGATTTTGAAATGTATCATATGTAGAATGAGGAAACGGCTATACGGCGATGTTACGCGAGTATGAGTCACGAGAGCGGCGACGTATTGCGACCTCGAGACTGCGTTTTGCTGAAGAGTGGTACGCGGAAAGGCGACTTACCATATGTAGCGAAGATCGCCGCGCTCTGGGAGAATCCGGACGACGGTAGATATCTTCGATCTCGCGGAAACACTTCCCTAGTCTCTCGATTTGCGATTAATATCACGTTTATTCTGCTTTCGTTAGGTGAGATGATGTTCTCGTTATTGTGGTACTACAGACCTGAGCATACAGAGCAGGGTAGAACGCCGCATGACAGCGAGGACGAGGTATTTGCTTCGCGTCATCGGGATGCAAATAGCGTCGCTTGCATAGAAGACAAATGTTACATCTTGACGTTCAACGAGTATTGTCGGTGAGTATCTCTACCGTGATGGTGGAGTTAGTTATACGAATATACGTTTGATTAATAAATTAGATTCACAAATGCTTTTAATATTTTTTGCCAATCACAACTTTGGTAATTAAACTTTTTTGTTGATCTTGAAATAATTAATGTAAAAGATTTTTTGCATGCTGCTTAAATCTCTATGTTGTAATAAACTAATATCGAAGTTTGTTGTTATATATAAACTTTTTACTGTTCGCTAAGTTCACAAAGCATTAAAATTGAAAGACGTAACTTTTTATCCCCCTAAGCAACAGCAGCATCGGCTTATCTACATCATTGCACATGATGATGCTTTTATGTGATAGGTATCGTAAAAACTTACGGAGGATTGAAGAAGGCTTAGAGAATCCTGGCTTGATAGTTCCGCCAGGGGACCAAGTGTATCCACGGGAGAATCGGCAGCCGCCTATACCAGTACCATCGGACATGGTGCTTTTCTGCCGACGTGTTTACGACTATCGCGGGAAGAAGCTCGTGAAGAATCCCGGATGACTCGAATTCTTATAAGATGCAAACCGAGAAAGCTTAGGTCACACAATTGAAACTGGCCGCAGGTTTCCTTTCAAGCTAAATTGCGTCGCTGTTGATCGATTTGTCTTGATTTCGATGCGGTAATATATACGATAACGAGATCCGATTGACTTTGAATTATCTAGATACCGCGAGCAACTTCTACTCTTTGCACTTTTTGTTACTTGCGTTCTATTTGCTAAGAGAATTCCCTTTTATGTGGAAAGATTGTTTTCGGTTTTGCCCAAAAACAATTGCGAGAAAGTGAAAAAAGTAGATGCGCGTGAGTGTTTCAATTACGATCGGATTTCTTTCCATTTTTAAACACAGGAAAAATTTTAAAATCTTGCGTCAAGAAAGACGTATAACAAAAAGAAATGACACCTCGTATATATATATATATATATATATATATATATATATATATATAAAAGTTGTCCCGTTGTATCGGTCGACTTTAATTT